TTTTTTTTTTGTTCGTTCATATAAAACAAGGTACAGACATTCAGGAGGAAGATTCAATAATATGAAAAGAGAAATCTCATAATAATAGTTTGAGCTAGTTATAACGTTATTATTAATGTTGCGTAAAATATCGAACACAAATTCTAATTTTTTCATAGAAATTTTAAAGCTCCGTCACTTTTATTTGATTAAAATTTTTCATGATATTACTAAAAAAAATTTCTAATTTCTTTTATTAGCTTAAAAGCCCCTTTTGGCATGAAATTTTGACTCGGCACTGGAGTTTGATACCAATTTACGAATGCATCATGTCTTGAGCCTAAATTCTCTTTGTGTAACAAAAAAGTTGCAGGATTAAGAAATTTACCAAAATGATTCCCTTGACGATTTCGTCGGTATATAAGTGGGGATCTGTTTGTTGCAGCGCCAAAAAGTTGTCGATCATCAACTTCTTCAACTCTCTGCCGTTCGTTTCAAAACCCGCCGCCAAAATCCCACGGCGCTCCTCAATCAAACTCTGCAAGAAGCCGTCCATCTTTTTCATCAGCCTCACCATCTTCTTCTCCAAACCCGTCGCATCCAACCACTGCAAAACCGGCAAAAATCTCCCAAATTCGTCGCCGCCGATAGGTGCACGGCCTCCCTCATAACCTCCCGGAAATTCTTTGCCGTCCTCGTCGTCTGCCACGTCTTCGCCGAAGTACCGCTTCCCCACCACCGTCATCGTCATCACGTTGAACGCAAGCTCCGTAAATTTGGACTTGAGCTCGACCTTTGACTTCTTCATGATCTGATTCAGTAAGAGACGGACTTCTCCTTGCCGGACGGTTGAAAACGCGGCGAGGCGGGAGGAGGAGAAAAACTCGAGAGTCATGACGCGGCGGAGGTTACGCCAGTGGTCGCCGTAGGATGCCGCCGCGACGGATGTGAAGTTGTAGTGGAAGTGTTTTCCGGCGAGCAGGCTTGGGCGGTTGGCGAAGGCAACGTCGTGCTTGGTGTAGCATTCTTCAGCGGCGGAAGGGGAGGAGACTAGGAGGACTGCGCGCGAACCCCATTTGAGGAGGAGGATTTTTCCCAACTTTGAAGAAAGGGAGTGGAGGGTTCGGTGGACTGGATGTTTTAGAAGGTGAAGGTGGCCGATGATTGGAAGAGATGGCGGGGATGGGGGCAGACTCGTAAATTTGTGTTTTGGTTTAAATTTGGTGAGGAAGGTGAGGAAGATGATGATGAGACCTGTAGTAGCGTACCAGAAGAATGGTGATTGTTCTTCCATTTTTTTCATTGTTTGATTTTTTTTTTTTAAATTTATGTAAGTGTGGAGTTTTATAAATTTCAAGTGTTCTTGGTGGTTTTGTTTTTATAATTGTGATTTAACTTTTACTGCATAATTTTTATAAATATTTTGGCAATTGGTAAGCAAGAATCGATAAAACAGAGAGGAAAATAATGTAGGAATAAAAATTTGGAGTACAAGAGATACGAGGATGAAGTTGACAGAGAGTTTCATGGTGGGAAGTGTAAGATACGAGGATTAAAATTTGGAGTGTAAGATACGAGAAGGAATGTGGTTGCCGACTAGTATGTCTTCTTCAATTCTAATTTGGCATGATTCTTCTCCATTGGCGGTATGTGTTTTTTAACATTCGGATTTTGTTGGTTTGTCTGATTTTTGATTTTCAAATGACTAAATATAACTTCATTTTTGTATGAAATTGACGTATGCGTGCAGTGAAATATAAAGTTATAAAATATAATATTTATGAGGTTTGGCAAATGTGCTTACGTATTCGGGGGCAACAATAATACTTTTTTTATTTATCTGAAATAATATGCGTACAAAATAACTCTCACTATTTTCTCTCTAGTCTGGCTCACTGATATTTTCTTTTGCATACATCTTTTTTTTCTCTTTTTCTTCATTTCCTCTGTATGTTTCTCCTCTCTTTGTTCTTCAATCTTTTATAGGCAAAATGTCTAGCAAACTCTATCAAACTTTTCAAACCTACCAAAGATTTTGCTTTTGACAATAAAGTAGTCATATTTAATTGCTTAATTATTACAACGGACATTCATATCTTCATTTACAATAATTTCTAATTGAATAAAAATTTCTCGTACCTTATTTAAAAACCAAAATTCATTGTGGAGACAAATTAGACGGAGAGCCATTGTGGAGCATTAAGGTTCACGGCAACGAAATCAGGCCCATCTAATTCATCACCACTAATTGAGCCCGTTAAGTATTTACATGAATAATGACGATAAGTGTTGTTTGATTACTAGAAATGTTGTGAAGTGCATCTTAAAATAAAATTTAAAAGGTAAATGCTAAGATGATTTTTTTAAAAGTGAAACTCTCTATGAATTCTTTGACACCTCATGTTTGGCGCAACGTTTTATAATGTTGGCACATATATTAAGTTAAACTGTGAGGTAGCAGAAAGTTCGTAGAGAGTCCTATTTTAAAAGAATCCTCTTAACATTTCTCATTTCAGAACTGCTTGCACATGTTGGTGCTTATTCAAGTGTTTTAAATTAAAAGTTCAACATATTTATATTAAAATCACACTCTCAAAATCACGTATTCGTTTAATTGTATTTTAGCCAAGCAATCCCAAAAAGGCTCTAAACTTTGTATGAAGTCAAGCCCTTGGAGGCAATTTGCAAACCACGCCAAAGTCATGCCATCTTCCCTGTAAAAAACAAAAGTAAATTCCAAACTTTGGTTTGAAGTTTGAATCATTTTGTCTTAAGAAAAATATATTTGCCGACCTTTTAGCATGAAAAAAGGACCGATCAATTTTCACTTCTATATTTTTAAGGTACAATTTTAGCACCTAGGACCTCCTATTTTCTAAAGTTTTAATTTGTTATCGACCTTTTTAATCTGTCAAAATGTGTTTATTTCGGCATATGACAAATTGAGAGTTATTACTGTTGCGTCTAATCTTCCGTTATATGTGGGATCTACTTTTAGGCTGACATCTAAGTCACACTTGCACTCATTAAATTAAACTATACAATTGGTTGCCTGTTTTGAGACATAATGCATCGATTTAGGATAATCAAAAAATCATGATGAGTTATTTTTGTCCTCGTGGTGCAAATGTGGTTACGTTTTAGCTCATAAACATGTTATAGACTTCCAACGTCGTCATTTTAATAAAGAATCACATGATTAAAATTGAAAGTACAAATTGGTACGATATAAAAAATAAGAAAAATTGAGATTTTGTGATCTCAATTTGAAAATAATTGCAAAGCCGAAAAATTGTACAACGTATTATAGCCCAAACTATTTGGTAAATGTGTAAACATAAGCGGCCACTTCATTCGAAGGGCCTAATTCAAACCAAAGGCCCTAACCTAACCAACCAAACCCAGCAACCAATAAAATTGATTCCCATTCTGCCATGCCCAAACCCACCTCCCCTTAGGAATTTAATTCCTCCAAAAGTGGGAATCCAATTCCTCATTTTACCTGGGGCCCTCATCACTGTTCATTCATCTTGGGATGGTAAACGAAGGTTTGATCCGGAATCGGAATCATTCCCACTCAACTCATTCCGATTCCGTGTACATAAACACGCGCCTATGGTAATCCTTCCTTTTAAGCTTTCAATCTTCGCGTATATATAACTTTAAGGGTAAATCTTTGTTTAATACGTTCATGTTTCGTGGTTTTCAACATTTAGTACATTAAGTTTTTTTTGTCTCAAAGTTATACCTTAAGTGTAAATTTTGGAACAGTCTCATACATCCGTTAGTTAATTTGTTAAGTCTCCCGTTAACTGTGACGTGGCGCTCATGTGGACAATGACTGAGCGCCACATGTCATCCACGTGGAAATTAAAAATAAATTATTTATAAAATAAATAAATATAATAAACAAATTATATATATATATAATAAAAAATAAAAAAAAAAAAAAAATTTCATCTTCCGCAAATCCCACCCGTGCTCACCCTCCGACCCTCCCATCACCCACCCCTAATTTTTTAACTTCAAATTTTGAAAGTAAGACAAATCAAGCCACTGCCACCTGAGCAAATGGTGGACAGAGAAGAAACCAAACAATAAATAACAAGCTTTCTGGGATTTGGGTCTCCAGGAGCAAAGGAAAAGAACAAAAGAGAGAGAGAGAGAGAAGTATAAACCGACATCACCATTTGTGACTACCTGCGCCTACCCTCCCATCACCCACCTCTTCGTCTTCCTTAAATCCCACCCGTGCCTACCCTCCCACCCCAGTCGTCACTGGATACCCTCAGTGTTCATGTGCCTTTTAGCTCGTGACCAGCAACGATTTACATCCTTTGCAGCTCCTGGATCTGCCTCTGAATCCCTGCGTGAGACATCACCAGTTCTCTGGTATGGCGATCCCCAGGAAATCGAGGTTTGTCGGTGAGGCAGTGACAGGAGCCGTCGGAGAGGATCCATTAGGAGACCTGATCTGAATCGAAGTCGTGACCGGAGCTGTCGAAGAGGATCCATTAGCGTCGTTAGGGGTGTCGCAGTCGATTTCGTAGGAGCGATGCGAGGAGTCGCGGGAATCCGGGTAGGAGTGGTGCGAGAGAAAGAGTGTTGGGGGGTGGGGGGGAATGGGTGGGTGATGGGAGGGTGGGAGGGTGGCGGGTGAGATTTGGGGAAGGTGAAGGTTTTTTTTTTATATTTATTTTATTTTATAAATTTTTTTATTTTTAATTTCCACGAGAATGGCCAGTCATTATCCAAATAAGCATCACGTCACAGTTAATTGGAGACTTAATAGTTTGACTAACGGATGTATGAGACTGTCTTAAAATTTAACCTTTAGGTATGACTCTGGGACGAAAAAAATTTGATGTACTGAAGATTGAAAACCACGAAACATGAAAGTAATAAACAGAGATTTACCCTAACTTTAATTCTCTCCCACATTTGAATTCAATTCACCAACATTCTGGACTGAAAAAAAAAAAAAAATACCAACAATTTATTTACTCTCTCATTTTCTCTTTATATTTATTTTTGAATTTTAGCGTTTGTATTTACCTCCACAAATCCTCATCGAAATGTCGGACTCCGAGAGCACCGCCGCAGCAGCGCCTCAAGACCAAATTTCCCAACAGCATCGCCACCACGACGCACCAGCTCACAAAGGGAAGCCCAGCCTCCTTACCTCCTTCAGCATATGGCCGCCGACCCAGCGCACCCGCGACGCCGTCGTCAACCGCCTCATCGAGACCCTCAATAGGCCCTCCCCTCTCTCCAAGCGCTACGGCACCATGGCCGCCAACGAGGCCTCCACCACCGCCCACCTCATCGAGGACGACGCCTTCGCTGCCGCCGGTGGCTCCGCCGCGACCGAGGAAGACGGGATTCAGATCCTGCAGGTTTACTCCAAGGAGATCAGCAAGCGCATGCTCGACACCGTCAAGTCCAGGATCGCCGCTGCTGAAAACTGTGCGGCGGAGTCCGTGACTGCGAGCTCTGTGGTGGACTCCACTACGGCTGCCGCCGGTGAGGATGTTAAGGCGGAAGAGTACTGATCTCTCCATGTGTGTTAGGTCACTTTTAGCTTCGTATTAGGGCTTTCAAATCGAGATCTATTTCGTATTAATCATGGATTTCTTGTGATGCCTATATACTTAATGACCTCCTCCAAATTTAAATTATTAGGTAATTTCGCAATCTTCAATTTTCTGGGTTTCTGTTGAGAGTATTGATCTACTGATTCTTGATCTGCTTTATTCGGAGATGTTTGTGCTGAAGGTTTTATACTCAAGTGGGTGCATTTGGAAAAGCACGGGGAATCAGCGTCCTTCTGCAAGTGGCTTCCTTGATGTGTGGACTGTTACTCTCAACCGGAGACATTCGTCAAACCAGATGTAGATAATATTGCATATTTTTGTTGTTCTCCGGAGTGTGCTGTGTAGGGTGTGGATTTGGTGCCTCTGTCCGTGCGATATCCGTCCGCTAAAATGTCGAGATGGTTTAAGGTGGGCAGTAACCGAGAAAAAAATATATTACAAGAATTATCAAAGACGAACAATATGATGCAGATCCAACTACTTTCATCCATTTATGACGCTTTTTAATATATCTATCATGATAATATGGTGGAGGCTTATTAATAATTACTTTCGAATTAGCATAGGTTACTTTCCTGTGTGGTCTACATTGTTGGTTGTTTGGTTATTCTATTGTCTCTCCACAAGGGATGCTGTACCCGTGGAGTTATGCGTGTGGCTTCAATAAGCTCCTCCTCTTGCTGTTCATCCTCCTAAGACTGGTCATGACTAAAAAAATGGAAGAGTTGCACACGTCATGTCAAATAAAGATTTGAGGCTAAATAGATATCTTTTAAGAATTAGCTATACAAAATGTGGAGACACACAGAAGTTATCTAATCGATGATTTAATTAGACTAAAGCCATCATTGGTTTGACAACTTATGTCTCCTGTGTCTCCACTTTTTGTATTCAGCTAATTCTTTAAAGATATCCATTGTGGTCTCAAATCTTTGTTTACCATGACGTGTGCAACTTTTCCATTTCACTCATGATCAACCTTAAAAGGACGAACAACGAGAGAAACACACTATAGCTAAGTTGAAGCCACATCCATAAATTCCTCTCTCTGGCGTACAACCTCCTTGTAAAGAGTCAATAGGCTAACCAAACAACAAATAGGGTAGACTACACAAAGAAGGTAACCTGTGGCAATTCAAAATTCATTATTAATAGCCACACCATATTATTATCATAGACACATTGCAGAGCGCCATGAATGGATGAAAGTAGTTGGATCTGCATTCGCACTGGTCGTGTTTGATAAATTTTGTACTCCATTTTTCCTTGAGGTTCTTCCCCGACTTAAAGCACCTTGACTGAGACTTGTCCAAGGACAGGTATTGTACAGGAGAATACACCAAATCCACAACCTACACAGCGTAATCTGGAGAACAATAATATATGTACAACATCTCCAACCACCTTGACAAATGTCTACGGGTTGAGAGTAATACTCAAGGACGCTGAGTATTGATCTGTTTTTTTTTGGGTAAACTTTTGTTGCATTGTACTGTTTTGAGAGTTTAGATTGTCCATATGATGTGATTGCAATGGTGTGAGAGTTCATCAGAACCATTCTTCATTGATTTAAACCTTATTTCGGAAGTACTCATTACTATTTTCTATGTTACGTTGATGGAAATAAAGTTCACAATTATAAGAAACTTTTAACCTTTGGTGTGGATTGTGGAATCAATGTGAGCAAATGTATAGGATATCATTTTCGGAAAGGTTCGATTTTCTTGTCAAATTAAGCTTTCGGTGAAAGTGAGATTGTCTAATGTTGCTCTTGCTCAGAGCTTTCTTGTCCAGTTCTTTTGTTGTTCAAGCATGTTAAACTCAAAAGTAATCTGCATTATCTGTGATAAGCAAATCTAATTTGTTTCATTTCATTTTTTGTCTCTTTTTGTTGCACCCGTAGTAGATAATCTGGAAGGCAAAGGCGAGTAATGTTTTTGGGTAAATGTTATTTGCTTGATATTTTATAGTTCATAGAAGTTTGAACTTCCTTGAGGTCAACTAGGATTTGATTAAGAGTATTACTGGTTTGAAATGGTTGAGTATATATATAACACTAGTATCGTGAGTTCCAGGCACTCACACCTTGGAAGATTGGTTGTTATGTTAGGTTTATGTCATGTAACTCTAATTGTGTTGCTGCTACCGCTAAGGATGTTTTTCTTGCAGATGCCTTGTTTTAGTGCATGTCTTGTTTGACAATAAGCGATTTTTGCTGCCCTGTTGCTCTCTAGCTTTCTGATGTCCTCTCACTGCAAGTTTCTCCATAGTGTTTTGGGGCCTATGTACATAATCTAATCTTTGGACTAAATCCCAATTTGTCTGGGGAATTGATATTTGTTCTAGTTTTTCAGTTAGCTGAAACCTTGTTCGTCTTGATGATCGCACGCCTTTGCTTGTTTGTCTGCATTTCTTTTCTGAGAGTGCAGCGGTTGGACATGCTGTGCTAGATGGTTTATGCGATGCCGCATCAAGCTTTGAAGATGTATGATGAAAATACCAAATACATGTTCTGTATATTCTACCTCTTTTTTCAGAATTTCGTTAAGCATTGTATTTTCGTCATCCGTCCCCAAATAACGTGATCGACGACTACATCATCAGCGTTGTGAAACGCTCCCTGTGTTGTGTTTAGCAGTTGGCCTTTCCTAATTCATCCTTCTCTGTTAGAATCTGATGCATCAAGTAGAAAACTAATGGCTCTTTTGAGGACTCATTTGATAGGGTGTTTATATTTGCTATGAAACTTGGGGTTATTTTTGTGCTTCCCAGAGTGGGTTGGAAATTGGCATGCTCTGATCAGCAAAGAACATTTGCTTTCATTATGTACTTTAGGGTTATAATTGTTGGTATATAATCATGCTTTGTAGCATCAATTTTAAAAAATTCTTTCAGAAATAGATGTGAGTTAGATCAGTTAGTTACATGTCTAATCAGATTGCCTACTTGCACCTAATTGTAAATCTCTTTATATTTCGCATATCGAGTAGATTAGAATATTATTTAGTAAAAAAATTCCTAAAAAACCGTTCACATGATAGGGTTGAAACATTTTCAAGTAAAAATTTAAATGGTAATACTAAGAAGACAAAATTTGCAAACTAAATAATATGTCATCAATAGAAATGATCATGTTTATCAATGCTTAGTGATAAATCAATCAACTTCTATATCTTTTAGTTTTCAAAATTTTGTCTACAAATTTAACTTTCTTAGCATGAACCAAATTTAAAATATAGGGCCTCACCTATTGCTCGAATTATGTCATGGTATTGGAGCTCGTTTACGCACACAAATAGGACAATACTTATTGAATTAGTTCGGCTCCAATATGTGAATAACGAAACTCTAATACTACAAAAGAATATACACTCGGCAACATAATGAAATTATTGAAGTTAAAAATGTAAAAAATATATGTAGACTCTACAACGTGTAAGTTTGGCTCCAATATGTGAATAACGAAACCTTGATACTACAAAACAATAAATATGAACTAATTTTTGTTACAAAAATTTGATGGGCTTGGGATCTAAATTTATTTATGGTATCAGAGCTAGGTTATATGTACGAGTAACACAATATTATGTAACAACATTCACATAACATAGTCCTGACACCACAATGGAATATGAGAACAAACCCACAGCGGGTACCCAATGGTTGGAGAACTCATGTCTTTAAATCCATACGCAAAACTGTCATTATGCGATGTGGGACAAATAAAACTAGTTGACACCAACACAACACACTCGGATCTTCTCCATTTTATGCCATCTCTCTATCTGGTTATGATTTAAAATACTTGTATTTTGTTCTAAGTTGCCCAATAGTATATACTCGAAGGAGAAGTAGAAGTAGCTCAATCCAAAGGAAAGTCTAAAAAAATGGCCAAATTACGATCCTATATGTTACCCTTTATCTAAGAGACGGTCGGTTTGACTTTCAACACAAAATGAGAAAAAAAAAAAAACAAAATAAAATCTTATTAATCAGGACAATTTATCACTTGCAAGATATTCAAGTTTTAATTAAATTAAAATAATCAAATACTTTTAAGTTATTATATAACTCAATTTATTTTATATGCTTGACTAATTGGTCACATATATCAGTCCCTGGTGAATGCGCAAGAGAATGATGTCAAAGTATTTCAATTTATTCCTTAGCTTATTCGGTCGTCAACGGATTAGTTAGGCATTTGATTATTTTTTAGGTGGGTTGGACTTGGACTTTTTAGGATGAGATATTGCTAAGTAAGCAGGCCACTGTCTAAACCAGTGGATGAATTTGTGTGCATTGCTAATTGGGTCGTTGAATTCAGCAATTTTTTTTTCATAATACGTATGTAGTCTGAAAAGTCAACAATTATATCTTGCATATTAGGATTTAATAGATCTCTACAACGGCTAAATTTTACATAAAACCCATATTTTTCAACTATAGATCTAATGAATCTCTACAATAACACGTACTAATGTATCTGGACTCCAGATTAAGAGGTCTACTTATTCAACTAAAGATAAAAATGAAATTAAAATTGATTCTTTCTTTATAGTGATATATTATTTACACACCATATTGATATATTATTTACACACCATATTTGATTCTTCCTTTATAGTGATATATTATTTACACACCATATTCATATCTCGTAGGTGGGTAGTGGGTGGTGTTATATTGATATATTATTTACACACCATATTTGATTCTTTCTTTATAGTGTTTTTTGAGTTTAGGCTAGCTTTTTGAGAGAATCAACTTTGGTGATTCCAAAACATTTTTAAACGTTCAATGTGGCTTTTAATTTTCTATTAAGACCAATTCAAAGCAATATCTGTACCAAAATACATTCCACAAACCAAACGATGCCAAAGAGTAGGAAACGAAAAGGATCTCCATTTCCCGCTCTTACATTAATCAATGTGAAATTTGAGTATGATTGCCACATTGCGCGACGATATAAATCTTTTTTCAATTCATGTTATAGAATTTGAGTTAATAACATTTCACAACGATATGATCTTTTTGTCCATTAATATTATAACAAGTGAATTAGTAATACTCTGTGATTATGTAATCCAAAGTTCCAACTTATTCATGG